GTGTCATTCTAGCAGAGATATGAAAACGATTTCCTAGGTTTTGAAACTTATTCCAGGGCTACTTTAACTAAAAAGATCCTTTCACTTTTCAAAAAAAACCCAAAACAACCAAACAAGTGGAAAAAAACCCCCAAACTGATGCTTTCTTTTCTAGTTTGTTAAAATTATAAGGGATGGAAACTGTCCTTTCATCAGAAAGAATTTTTCAGCACTCTTTACCCTTAGTTGGACAATTCAAACTACTAATTTTTACCTGTAAGGGTTCTTTTAAAATAACAACTCCCCCATGCTAGAGTGCAAATCTCATTTTTTATGTAGGCTGCTTGTTGGAGCTTGAGTGTATTTTTTCGCTTTTTATCATACCGTTAGCACCACTGCAGTCCAACATTTGACCTCCTCTGCTCAGTTTTACTGCTGTGTTTGTTAAACCACTCCACCTATTTCCATTACAGAGCAAGAAGTGAAATACTTGGTGGAAACGTTGTCAGGAAAACAGTGAATTTCATGATGGTGAACAGTATCATCACAAGATGTATGCAACTCTTAAACTCCCCCTGAACTTTTGGACTTACTATAAGAAAAATGCTTGCAATCAAAACCACAGATCTGAATTCATTCTTCTTCCCCCACCTTTTCTCCCAACCCTTGGCCCGAATTTTTTGCACAGTGCAGCTCTCCTTGCCCGTCTGAATTTTGCAGTTATGGGAAGATGAATCAGACCACTGAAATCCAACACTCCTCAGCTGTGGAAGAGGGTGGAACTGGGTCCCAGCTGGGGGACGATGTTCCTGATGATTAATTACCTTTCTTCAAAGGTCATCTCTGCACCCTGAGTCTTCTTATCATTTTTAGTTTCTTATGAATTAGTTACATTTTATTTGCAGTAATCACAGCCTACTTGGGTTAGCTTCAACAAACCAAGAGCACGCTCCAAAAGGAAATCTAAAGTAACTCTTAGCTGAACTGTCAGCCCCTTTTCTAAAAGATGTGTATTGCAAGACTTCTCTGAACTGTTGACTGTATCAAAACCGTTGCCTGCTGTCTGAGATCTGTTTGTGGTGATGCAATGACAGTGACTAAATGGATTGAAAACACACTACTGAAATATTCCATTCTGTGAGCAAATTCCAGTGAATGGCCTCAAGAGCCTGGCCCCTGAAATGAAATGCAGACCCCTGTGTTGGTTATTTGCTCTCCATACATAACCCGTGGGGAGAGTTAGGTGCTTCGGGATGTGATCCCAGAAGTCAGCTTTGGCCAGCTCCTGTCATAGCAGAGAAACCTTGAGGGTGAGGAGTTATTTTAGGCTGCCAGTGTCACACGCAGGCTATTAGGATGTGTCCCAGCTGCTTTGAGCAGATAACAAGACCTCTCAGACTTCTCCTGAATAATGCAACGTGGGCCCCAAATTAGGAGCTGGAGCTAAATAAAGTATGTCTGGGAGATGTGGAGGCTGTTGTACCACCTCCGACTGGCAGACCAGTGTCCAGGTCCTATGCCCAGCAACGGGAAATGGATCCAGTTCTTTCCTCACCTTGAGCTCAGCCTCCCTCCCTCTCTCTCTCTCTCTCACACACACACAGACACACACGAGCTCTACCTTGCAAGCTTTTATCTGACCCTGACCTCAGCTACCCTGTCGCAAATGGGGAAACTTTGGGTAGGTGCAGGGTTGCAGACCTCAGTGCTACAAGAACTTAAAAGCAAAACACAAAGCACACATGGACCTAAGGCCACTCTGCTTTTAGGCAGTAGCTTAGAGAGCGTTTATAAAATCACACACTTGGTTTTAGGTCCCCAAATCCTACTTTAGTGTCTTTTCAGGTGATCAGACCTGTGGCTGTGACCTGGTACCTTGTCCTCCCTCACTGATGCTTGGAGGTCACTGCTGTGAATCCTGCCCTGCTAACCTCTCCCTCTCCCTTTCAGCATCGCTGACTGTCATTGCTGTAAAGGCTGTGGCCAGCATGGTAACACTCTCTGCAAAGGGGAAAATGCAGCTAACTTATCCTGTTTTCTACATCATGATTGTTTTAATGGCAACTTCTTGTGCTTTCCAAGTCAAGTAAGTGAGATTCTACCTATCTCCTAACCTTCATACACATTGTATCTGTCAGTTTTATTCGGTACTGATACTGACTCCAGATACAAGTTGCACTCAAAGGCAAGAAATTCCTCGCAGAACCTTGGCAGATGCAGGAATTGCCTACAGCTGATTGTATTGTTTATTTAGACTTTATTTTTCAGTTTATAATTGATTATTATAGATGCTACCACCTCTCATTATCACCTTATACAAGGTCTTCCCAAATTTAATTCCAGTTTTGGCACAGGTTTTGAACTCATTAAATGAAATCTATGTTTATGTAAATTGGGGGGGGGGGGGGGGGTTGGGTACTTTTAGAAACCTTCATTGCTGAATAATCAAATGGCCACATTTACTCTCATTATGCATCTCTTTTCCCCGGCTTGTGTCACTGGTCAGACCAAAGAAAAGAGTTTATCCTGACTTTCTCCCCACCTCTGTTAAATCTGCATGGTGCACTTTGCTACCCTGTATGTCTGTAACTTTTTAGGAAATAGTTAACTTTTGATGTGCAGGGGACATCCAAGTTTTCCCTGCTGGCCTCTGGCCTGTTAAGTGACTGTTTTATGCTGCCTTTGCAGATTGCTGGGGGTGGCAGCATGGTAAAATATGGCTTGCAGCTGAACAGAGAGTCCCTTCCCTTTATGCTGGTCCCTCTGCTTCAGGTGCTGATAGCATCATTCAGTAATCTCATCTAGACTGCTCCACTGCGAGTCTGAGTGTTTACTTGCATGATTATTTTCCAGCAGAAGAGCCAACCCAGCTTTCTTGTGGCAGAACATACCATTCCCATGTGGAATCAGAAAGTCCGTGCGCTATTACGCAGTGACTCTCCATGGCTGACTCAGGAACTCCCCTGTAACAGACTATAGAGTGATTTACATCCATCTTGTCTTCGCTGGGAGAACAGCTCAGGGCATTTAAAATAGGAAATAAAAGCTTGGTAAATAGGAAGCTGCTGATTTAACCTCTCCTTCTTTGCACTTTTTTTTTTCCTCCTTTCTTTTGCTGGATCAAAATTAAAACAGATGTGAAATGTGCCCATTTCATTCCCTGGGCTCAGTGTCTCTTTCTCTCTTCTCTCTTGGACACATTTTCTAACGAAGACAGTGCTGTCAGTCTAAATTTTTCATTTTATTTGTTTCCTCTCTTATTTTATTTGACTGTCGTATGTTAGCTCAGAACAGTCTGTGCTGCAACATCCTCCTTGATTCATTGCTGCGCCCTGCTATCACTGTTTTAGTCCCTGTGACCAAGTTTGTTGCAAATGAGCGAAAATAATGAGGTGTTTTCAATGACTTCAAAATCCTGACTATCCTGTGGATATGTAGGATTTCTTTATTTTTAAAGCACCATGGAGACTGTTCAACAGTTGCTAAAATAACCATGCAATTACTTTAATGGCTAAAACAGATCCAAGCTTGGATTTTTACTGTGCACATATATTGTATCAGTGAAACATTTAAGTGTGGTTCTTTTTATAGGTTTTGAATACACTCTGCAGCCTCCTGATTTTTTCTCTCTCGGTCTGAAATGCACCATTCACATAGCAGAGTATCTGCTGGTGCATCCCAGAGTTCACACTCATGATTCATCACCCTATGGGTAAACGTTGATAGCTGTGGTCTCTGTACAAGTGGGTTAATTGCTTTGCCCTTTTCATCCGCTGTTGCAGCCTATGCAGGCTGCTCCATGGCCAATGTCTTGATCCTGCAGGTTTGTGTGCAGTGTATGATCCTGGGGTCCTGCACACTCTTGCTCATGATTCTGGTGAGGGTTTGGGTTGCCTTTCTGAAGGAGCGCAGCAGAGAGTTTCCAACCCCCGGAGCACAGGCTTGGAGCCACCTCCTTGGACATTCCCAGCAGCACAGAGAGTGTCTGGGGTATGGTTGCATGGGTAAACATACAAATATCTATTTTAGTCAAGTTGGACTGAGCAGTAGCAGCGATGTGGACTTCAGCAAAGTGAAACAGTTCCTAAAAGAACTCGCGTGTTCATGTCTGTGCTGGAAATACACCCTTACACAACCTGTTTAAATTAGAGCAATTTGTCCCTGGCCTCTCGCAGGCAGCACTGCTTCCAAGAACCAATGCAGACCATGAGCAGTAATATCCTAGCATTCCTCCCTTCTCTATGGCAGACAAAATTTTTCCAACAGTGCTTTCAAAGGACTCTCCAATGACAGCCTATGGCCAGAAGCTTCCACACCAACCTTCTTACTTTCGCCTATTCGCCTGCACTCTGCAGAGTCAAAACCAGAAGGTAAATGCAATACACACATGCATCTCTCCAGGGCTACTTGCTATTGTGGTAAAAAATGGTCACACTTATGGTTAAACTGACACAAAGTGGCTTAACCTGACTTAAAGTGCAGTGAACCTCCTGTAGGCATGAGGGGAAATAACGCTTGTCTTCCAGGTTCTTGAATCAAGCAATGCATCTGTATGAAGCGACAGCAATTGTGCCCATTAATTTTGCGTTCTTCACCACCAGTGCCATCATTTCAGGTTTGTTTCTGGCCTTGTGCCTCTACAGAATGATTTTCTAAACATCACATTTTCAAGAATTACTGCCTGTGAACAGGAACACAAATCAGCCATGTTTGTCTCCACAAAAAGAAGTTTTTCCTAAGTGACAGGTGTTTAAGTTCTGAAAAATGAATAAGTTCACAACTTTTGAAGCAAAATAATAAACAAATTCTAGCATTTCCAGAATTGATATATATGGTTTACTGTGCCTTTGCTGGCTTGCTAGATTTATCCTAGGCTCATCTTGACATCCAGTAAATGCATTCACCATGTGCACACCAGCCTTTCCATATCCGAACTGGTAGAGTAATTTTAACAGCCTGGCAAGCTACTCAAATGACAACCAGCTGTGTTTCATAGTAGTTAGTGTATATTCTGTTTCAGAAGGTGGAATTCTAGGTTAAGTGAAGGAAATAAAATGACTCCAAAGACTTTTTCAGCATTTAACATTTTATTCTGGGTGAGAACTTTGAACTCGGCGTTGTTAAAGAGGGATTGCAAATCTTGGAAATGGTGCACAGCATAAGAACATGAGCAGGGAGGACGACTAGAGATGCTGTATCAGCAATGAGCCAAAATGATCATGTTGTTAGAACATTTATGACTCATTTTAACACACACTGGGGGCTTTCCTGTCATTGCTGTGCAGGAGTTTCTCATGCAGAGCTGCCATTAATGAGAAGGGGAGTTAGCTTCATGCACAGATTGCCTCAGCACCTGTGTTAGAAAAGACCTACATTTTGTGACTGAGAGGAGACTTGTGCCAAAAGGGGGTTGCATTCTTGGGACCATATGGGGAATTTGGCCGTGTGCCTCCTTAAAAGATCAAGTACCTATTCAGGAATAGCTTAATAGCTTTGAGACTAGATACACATGCATTTGCACCAGCTTAGTTAAAACAGCATAAGGCTTAGAAGAACAACCTCTGCTGAATTTTGCTGGGGTGCTCGTAGAAGGTACCTTGACTCATGATTCCCCCATCCCCAGTTACAGCCTTTGAAGATACAGTCACACTTCAGCTGCACTGGTTCACACTCTGGTGTTTCTAAGCAAAACTATGCTCATCAGTGGTTTAAAGCTGATATACTTGGCTGTGAATTGGGGCAGCTGAGATCCAGATACACATCTGGTCCTGTCACCTCCACTGCAGAGGTGCTAATTCCTGGAGTGACCAGAAGGAGCTAGTGATCCCTTCAGCCAGAAAGATTTGGCAAACTTGGCTGCTGGAGCCCTTAACTTGGTGTAAACATCAGGGATACAGCTAGTTATCGGAAACCTGTTCCCAATTGGAGTTAAGATGTTCACATGGTCTGTTGGAGTGGCTTAACTAAATCCATGAAGAACCTGTTAGCTGTATTGGTATGACTGCTCGTGAATAAGACCTTGAGTTTGACCTGCATAAAAACCGTTGCTGACAATGCAAAAAATACCTGCATCTGTGCAGTTACTAACACAGCATATGCTCCAACCTGAGAGACTAAATCTCCTCCAGTCCCGTGCAGTATCTTGAGAAAGCCTAGATAATGGAATATGGGCACATAAAGTGAACCCATCACGATATGTATTAATACCTTATTTGGGATTTTTTTGCTCCGTTTAAGCATGACACTGCTCCTGACCCTCCCAGCTGTAATTCATATCACTTGGAAGCCAGTCAAGATCTGCAATTCTTGTTTCTGTCACATTCCAGGGGTCATATTTTATCGGGAATTCCAAAGTGCACCTTTGCTGAGCATGTTCATGTTTCTGTTCGGGTAAGTGTGTTAGTCTAAAATCTGCACTAACATTTGTACTAAAACAGCATTGCCTTGCGGAATCCCTTCTCTTCTCAGTAAGAAGAAACCCGTCTTGTTATTAAAGTATTATGGAATAGCCATTATAGTAGGATAAAAAAAAAATTAAAGGAAAGATTGATGTCTGTGCTTTGGGAGTTTGGAGGCCTGGTTTTGAATCCAAATATGTAAAAATGTGAGACACTTATGAACTACTAATCTCATGATGGAATGAAAAAACAGCAGCATGTGTTCCTCCAGCAGGAAGGAGAAATCGCTGCTCTCCACCAAAGATCATGTTATAGGAGGTGCTTTTACAACTGTGAGAAATCTCCTCCCATGTTACCTTCCTCTTGCATGTTCGGCTGCCACTAGGCATGGGCAATTATATGAGTTGCTTGCCTACCAGGCAGTACTATAATATCTCTCTTTCCCATCCTCCTGTGCCAAGAAAGGCACAGCATGCCTGTGGAAAAGTTCAGAGCATGCTAAGAAGCTGTTAACAATAAATGTTTGAAGAAGGGCCTGGGTGTTGTGAGAGCAGAAACCTTCTGCTGGCTACCAGCACTGTAACAACTCTGGGGACAGGTGACAGTTACTTGATAATGGGCATGAGATGGTTAAAAGCATCTCCCAGAACTGCTGGAGGTGTCTTGACACAGTGCAGTCAAATAAATGGGGCTGATAGCTAGAGATGTCTTCCTCCTCTGCAGTTGGACTGGAGTAGGTGCACACAACCACTATCTTGTCTGATTGCAGAAAAAGTGACCAAAAATTGGAGATGAGGAAATTCAACCCATTTATTTGGCAGGCAGGAATTAGTGGTTGAGTGTCCAACACAGAGCGGACAGAAGATTTATCCAAGCATAGCAATTTTTCATTGCTCCTGGCTTACCGCTTGCCCCTGAGACACACAATCGAATGAGAAAAACAACAGAGATGTTGATTGTCTGCAGCTAGACTGAGTTGTTAATGAAATTGCAAATACTACAATGCTAGCTTAGATGCTCTGTGAAGATTTGCTCAGGGATTCAAATATTGTAGTCACACTCACAGGCATTTGATTAGGTATATATTGCTGAAAGTGTAATTTTGCCTGCAGAGCCTTTGGAACTGATAATAAAGCTTCAGGAGGCAAAAACTAGGCTGAAAGGGAGCCCAAGATCAATTTATAAAGCTGCCAGGAAGAAAAGTTTCTTTATAAACTGAGCAGCTTGGATTTGGAAGTCTTTGAAAAGGAAACATGGAAAGAAATCCTCATCTCAGATGCAGTGAACTGTTTCTAATGATACTATGCCACTGTTATTTTGCAGGTGTCTCCTATCTTTCCTTGGTGTATTTGTAATTGCAAGAAATAAAAAAGAGGAGCATTTACAAATTCCTTTTATTGACTGTGGACATATTCCTGGTAAGTAGGTCTTTTTTTCTGTTTTTTAAAAAATGAGATATCAGATAATGAGATGACCTAGGAGAGTTGAATCACAAATGTGCTCTAGTCATATTTAATAAATATACTGTTCCCTTAATTTCTATTCCTGTTCCCAACAGATTTTTCAAAGAATTTTTCAGAGTTGTTCCAAGCTATTGTTACAACCAGTCAAATGAAAACAATGATTACTGGAGCAAAGAATGTTTAAATGATGGATTGGTGGGGGATTTATTTTATTAAAATTCTTCACAGAGTTGTTTTTTCCTTCTCTCACCCCATTTCCTTAGGACAGAAATTGACAGGCAAAATACAACCAGATTCTCACAGTTCATGCTATGGCACTTTGAATAATGAAGACGACTCAGTGAGAAGTCAAAACTGAAAGAAGAAAGCACCTTACGTGCCAATTAACAGGAGGAACGCCACTGGAACAAGGATCGGCAGCACCTTTTTGTTGGAAACATTCAAGTATATGTTGAACTCCTGTATGTTGATGAGTCATAGTCTTATTGAATCCTACTTAATTTATTCCATGGTTGCCCCAAACGTGTTCTGAAGATAAAGGAAGCCTTAAGAAAACTAAATAACCATTAATGAAATGGAACATTCTCCTAGCATCAATGCCTCTTGGGGATATTTTTAGCCTTAATTGCCTTGAAATGCAAATAGGCACAGAACAGGATTATAAAAATTCCCCCTTGAAACCCCTTGATTCTTAAAGACAAAGGTGGGAAATGAGGATAATTTTCAGAAGTGACTTCAAAGTATCCTGCTATATGTATAATACCTTTAAAAATCTGATCCTTCCTGTTCAGGAGTCAAAACTGTGGGTATATATACAGTATACACAAATACGTACACACAAAGTATTTTATATTATGTGTAGAGGGAAAATTGTGATTATCTTCTGCCATCAGATTAATTCTCTTATCTTCCAAGGAAATAAACACTTGTGTGGGAAGGGGGAAGGAAGAGAGCATTTGTTGAAAGATAGGCACGTGCACACACGCGCACATTTGAGGTGCCCAGGCAAGGCAGAGCTAGGGAACCATTTTGCCTCCTCCCAGGAGAGTCCTTTGCACTGGGCTGGACTGGGCTGCGCTATACTACTGCTATCATCTAGCCCAAGGTATAGCCTCTCGTTTTCAGGAAAACAAGGTTTTAGTGAAGAAAGTGCGAAGTTCTCCAGAGGGAATGGGGTAGCCAGGCTCCCGTCCTTGATGTGTCTTGGAAAAATACCCCTAAAAAAGAAAAGTAGGGCAACTCCTGCCTCCTTCCTAAACTGCTGGTAATCCTGCATGAGGAAAGGCTGTAAAAAACAGGATCACAAAGAATCACAGGAATAGTACAATTTTTCCTTCATTCAATGGTAGTGTCTCCACAGTGATTTGAAGAGCCAGCAGTGATGGGAACCATGGCAATACAGGCTCTGTGCTCAGGTCTGGGAGTTCTCGGTGTCCCTCAGTCCCAGCCTCCCAGCAAGAGAGCTTCTTCTGGGCATTCGTCGTGCGTGCCCTTACCCCTGCCTGGCAGCACCGATCTACCTCCGCCGGCACGGTGCGGGTCAGACACCTCCTCTGCAGAAATAAGTGAAAGTGCTCTTGAAAAGTATTTGCGTCTTGGACTTGTTTTAGGTTGGAATTAATCTGTGATAATGGATAGGGGCCATAGGCTGTGTGTATTTTGTTTCAGTGGGATATGAGGAAATGAGGTCTCTCTTTTTTCTCAAATAATTGTTTATTTCATTTTAACATAGGTACAGCTGAAGATCTATAAGACAGTTTCATTTCAAACCCTACAAAGCACACTCAAAGCAGCAGTTTTTCCTATGCAGCGATGTCCCGGGAGCCAGGGTGCGGGGGGGGGCTTGTGAAGCTGTTTTCCAACGGGGAGCTTTTCCAGCTGGCACAAGACAAGACCCTGTGTCTGCACCTTACTTATACCAGCTGCCTGGCCGTGGCCTTCCTTTCCCCTCTTACAGCTTGAGTTCAAGTTTCTAAAGCTTAAAATAAAATAAAAAAAAAAAGCACATTCTTTTCATATGCTTCCTCCAGGGAGTAAGGGCATGCCTTTTTCTTTTGCAAGTCAAATTTAAGCTGCTTTCTAAGTCTCCAGTGAGAGCGTGTGCTAAAGATGGAAATAAGAAGCCTACAGTTTTTCATTCTGTGATCTGGGAAACAAATGGGTGAAAGGATTTGATTTTGTTTCTTTTTTAAATTATGGGCCTTGGGCATCTTTCTGAAATCCGTTTCCATGACTCAGGAGGGTTGGAGGAGGTATTAAAGGTTACTAGGTATCGGATTTTCTCTTTAAAGCAAGAAATCAAATGTAAAAATATGTGGCAAAAGTTATTATTTATTTTAAACTACTGTATTTCTTCTTGCACAACACTTTTTTTCTTCCTATGGGTTTATACAAAAATTATAAGGGTTAAAATGTTTTCTTTAAACTTGAATGTAATTGGAATTACTTTATGGAGCAAAACACTGGTAGGAACTATATGCAATTAAAAGTTGTGATTTGAAATGATTTTTGAGATGTGAGCACGTTCCAACTAATTAATGTATTACAAGATCAGAAAAACTCAGTGACGGGAATTCATTACTGCTCTGCCAAGAAAGGGACATGATTTGTTTCAAGAATCAGTTTCTAATCAATGTCATTTTCAGATTCTGCTTGTGATATTTAGGTTGAAAACACCACAGACAAATGCCTGCTAAAAGAAAAGCTTTTTCACTGGAATACAAAAAAGTCTCTGGAGCCCTTCTTTTTAATAATGAGTTATTTTCTTGCGATATTTTTCCTGACATCAAAAATGTGGGCCAGATATAAGCCGCAAAACTTGCACCTGCAAACTGAACTTTCTTGAACAGATCCTCCACGGGATCTGAGGAAACCAAACCGCGGGAAGGCGTGGTGGGCAGGCAGCGGCTCACGTGGTTCCCCCAGGCTCCAGCTTGGGATTTTTGACAGACCAGAACCAGCAGGACTTGTTTAGTGCTTGTTCCACTGCTGGTCACGCTGCGGTAAGAGATGAAGTATTAACTGGCCATGGGCCTGGAAATGGGAGTTCTGGAGTAGAGCGAGGCCGTTTAATTTTTGCCGTAAAATATCAGGATGCATTTACCAATCAGTTTCAGCTGGCAAAAAAAATAAATGAATTTTGAACTGGATTTGTATTTCTGCCCATGGTAGGGGCCTGGTGTTCACCTGGGAGGCTTATTGCCTGCTCCTTGCTACAGCCCAGCTTTTGGTGGCATCACGCTTTGTGTGTAAGGGCATCGGTCACCTAAAGCCAAAGGAGAGAGGTCGGACGTTATAGAGGCTTGAACTTCTGTGCTTTGAAGCAGTGGTTTCACGCACCTGGTGAGCTGCTTGAATGGTTCAGGGCTGCTAAAAGTCTCACCCTCTTTTTCCCAGCTGTGAGGTCCTGCATGGCCTTGTGGCTCTCTGTGAGCCAGTGCCGCTCACTCACCCCGTGGAAACCATCGGCCGCCTTCTCCTCGCTGGGCTTGCTCTCTCAGCTGAGCCAACCAGGCTGACTGCAGTGCTTGGTGGGAAGGAGGGGGAAAGGAGGAGAGGAAGCGAGACCTCTCTTCTTTAGGGTGAACTATTACATTATTTCTCTCCTTCTGAGGAGCTTCACTATAGAGTGAACATCCTGCTAAGCTCCCTCTTCATGTACCACCGTGCCCCAAATGCAGCAGTTATGAGCTTCTTGAAGCACTTTTAAGTGTCTGACTCCTGAAGCAAAACCCTGAGCCAGACTCACGGGATTATGCATAGTGAGCGTTGAGTGGCTTCACATGGGGCTGAGATAGGCAGCCCATGGCACCAGGAGTCTTCTAAGGTCAATTTGAAGCCTGGACATGTCTGACTACAACTTGTTCTAAGGACTGTTTTTTTTTTTTCTTCCCAATGACTGTTTGCTATAAGGTGGATAAACAGTGCTGGAAGGACAGACAGAAAAGTTTTCTGAACTCAAAATGGTCTCCCTTTGTGATTTCTTCTTCCAACTCACTTTATGCAGGATCCTTGGTTGCTTGCAGAGAAAAATGTTGCCTCTGATAACACTGGGGTGCAGATGATTAGATTGAGCTGTCTTTCAGTTTGCCCTTCTGTTACTGTCCTCTGAAGCTTGGCCTTTTTCTTGTTTAAATTTGTTTGTTTCTTCCTTCTGGAGAAATCAGCTGGACTGTGTTAGCAATTAGCCCAAAGGAGATAGAGGCTAATTACTGTAATTGTTATTGGAGGGCCAAGCTGGAAGATTTACAAAGTGGAGCCACTTCAGGAGCAAAATATACAGAAATGTTCAGTGCTCTGGATTCTCAGGAGCCTGAGAAATCCTGTGTTTGCAATGTTTCTGGGTTCTGGGACAGAATTAGGGATATCAGTGAATAAATAGTGATTCCATATATTTTTGTTTGCGGGTTTAGTTTGGCTTTTTTTTTTTTTTTTTACTGATTTGGGAGCAAAGGATGACTATTCTCTGCCTAGAGAAGCAGAGAGGAAATAAGACATTCCCTTGGCAGATGGGAGATGTTTCAATCTTTTGAAGCTGGGAGATGTGTAGAGGCACCTTTTGAGCACCCTGGCTGAAGTAACCATTGAGTTATAACATACAAGGAGGTAGCGCTGGCAAATACACAGAATCATAGAATCATAGAACTGTTTAGGTTGGAAAGGACCTTTAAGATCATGGAGTCCAACCGTAAACCTATCACGGCCAAGCCCACCACTAAACCCTGTCCCTAAGCAGCACATCTACACGCCTATTAAATATCTCCAGGGATGGTGACTCTACCACTTCCCTGGGCAGCCTGTTCCAGTGCCTGACAACCCTTTCGGTGAAGAAGTTCTTCCTAATATCCAATCTAAACCTCCCCTGGTGCAACTTGAGGCCATTTCCTCTTGTCCTAAGAGCCTTGTCCTCTTGTCATGTGTGAAATCTCCTCAGAGCACATATAGCTGATCTGGCCCTTTAGACTGCATATAAACATATTTTTGAAACATGCTAAGCGGGACTCCTTGAGCATCGTACCAACGCCTCTTTGGCCTGTTCCATCTCCCAGGCAGAGCTCTTGCTAGGTCCTCCCTGTGGGGAAACTGGAATGCGTGCTGGGTACGCACCCCGGGCTTACTCTGGTAAGAAGATACAGCACTGCCAGGACATTCCCATGAGCTGGGAAGTGTTTATAGACTACTGCCCTGCAAGGAAGTTCTGCAAACCTACAGTTCTTGGATTATGTTCCCTTTACTTTGTGATTCCCACCAGAGTAAGCAAGGGCAGTTTTGGGTATTCACAGAAGTGGAATTATTGGCACTGCAGGAACTTCCAGGTACAACAGGTCAGACCCTAAATAAAGAGTTAAGTAGCTGATG